TAATTTTGATCACATTCCAGCATATAGTGAGTCAAGATGTGACGCCTTCCAGCACTCCATGACGCAGGTTGTGACGTCTTCCAGCACTCAATGACTCAGGTTGTGACGTCTTCCAGCACTCAGTGACTCAGGTTGTGACGTCTTCCAGCACTCAATGACTCAGGTTGTGACGTCTTCCAGCACTCAATGACTCAGGTTGTGACGTCTTCCAGCACTCAATGACTCAGGTTGTGACGTCTTCCAGCACTCAGTGACTCAGGTTGTGACGCCTTCCAGCACTCAATGACTCAGGTTGTGACGTCTTCCAGCACTCAATGACTCAGGTTGTGACGTCTTCCAGCACTCAATGACTCAGGTTGTGACGTCTTCCAGCACTCAATGACTCAGGTTGTGACGCCTTCCAGCACTCAATGACTCTATCTATGACGCCTTCCAGCACTCAATGACTCTATCTATGACGCCTTCCAGCACTCAATGACTCTATCTATGACGCCTTCCAGCACTCAATGACTCTATCTATGACGCCTTCCAGCACTCAATGACTCTATCTATGACGCCTTCCAGCACTCAATGACTCTATCTATGACGCCTTCCAGCACTCAATGACTCTATCTATGACGCCTTCCAGCACTCAATGACTCTATCTATGACGCCTTCCAGCACTCAATGACTCTATCTATGACGCCTTCCAGCACTCAATGACTCTATCTATGACGCCTTCCAGCACTCAATGACTCTATCTATGACGCCTTCCAGCATTCAATGACTTAGGTTGTGACGCCTTCCAGCACTCAATGACTCTATCTATGACGCCTTCCAGCACTCAATGACTCTATCTATGACGCCTTCCAGCATTCAATGACTTAGGTTGTGACGCCTTCCAGCACTCAATGACTCTATCTATGACGCCTTCCAGCACTCAATGACTCTATCTATGACGCCTTCCAGCATTCAATGACTTAGGTTGTGACGCCTTCCAGCACTCAATGACTCTATCTATGACGCCTTCCAGCACTCAATGACTCTATCTATGACGCCCTCCAGCACATAATAACGCAGGGTGTGACGCACTGCAACACACAATGATTCAACAAGCAACAAGTTTCTCTGGTAAGGGTTACACATAGTTATGACTACATCATCTAGTTCTACAACCCCCCAGAGATACAACCCAGCCGGAGCCTGGTACTAGTGACATCCTAGAGTCTGATGATTTTGTTAAATGTACCACTTACATGTATCACCTCCTGCATGATAATAATAATAATAATAATAATAATAATAATAATAATAATAATAATAATATAATAATATACTTACTTACTACCAGTACATGTACAAGGTATACAGACCATAGCTGACATCAATGACATACTACTATATAGAAAGCCGCTTGTTATGCTGAGCATTTCCAGCAAATTAGGTCAGTTTTGTCTCAGGATGCTGGAGTTCATTACCTTTGTAACCTGTCATGATTGTGTCCAGATCTAGTTCATTACCTTTGTAACTTGTCATAAGTAAGTAAGTAAGTAAGTAAGTTTATTCAGGTATACACAAATACAGTTACATAGAATTATCATACATAGCAGCATATGTGTAGAGAACCTGGGATAACACAAAAAAGTCAGACAGAGTGACTTATTTCCATTGGGGTCCTTTTACCTTATTATTATAATATAAAGGTTGTAATATTTTCTTATTATGCTACAATGAAGATAACATCTTATTATCATACTAAAAAGACTATCTACTACACGAGGGTCATTAAGACTATCTACAATACGAGGGTCATTAAGACTATCTACTACACGAGGGTCATTAAGACTATCTACTACACGAGGGTCATTAAGACTATCTACTACACGAGGGTCATTATGACTATCTACTACACGAGGGTCATTAAGACTATCTACTACACGAGGGTCATTAAGACTATCTACAATACGAGGGTCATTAAGACTATCTACTACACGAGGGTCATTAAGACTATCTACAATACGAGGGTCATTACTAGGAATAAGATAAAATTTACACTTATGTTAGCTAAAAAATAGAAAATCATTCCCCTCCCTTTCTGTAGCTACATTCATCAGACACCTTTTGGCACTCTTCTTGAACTGGTTCATGCTATGACTGGCTTTGACATGTGCGGGTAGTCTGTTCCATTCCTGTATTGCTGTACGATAAAAGGTGTTTGAAGCCTGGCCACTGACTGTGGGTACTACAAAGTTGTGCTCTCTCCCCTAGTACTATGATTGTTGTCTCCCCCTAGTACTATGATTGTTGTCTCCCCCTAGTACTATGATTGTTGTCTCCCCCTAGTACTATGATTATTGTCTTCCCCTGGTACTATGATTGTTCTCTCCCCCTAGTACTATGATTGCTTTGGTTCCCAACCTTGACAAAATTGACAGCAAGATATTCTGGACACTGTTCGTGAGCAATTTTATAAACATGATTTAGCTTCAGTTGTTTTACTCTGTCTTCAACATTCAGCATATCCAACTGCTGTAATTCATCCTGGCCTACATGTTCTCTTGGTCCCAGCCCCAGGATGAATCTTACGATTTTGTTCTGGGTGATTTGCAGTCTATCTTTCAGTTTTTTTGTCAAGGCAGAGTACCAAGAAGAGCAAGCGTAATCCATATGGCATTGTATAAGGGCTAGACATAGGGTCCTGCGAGCCTCAGTAGGTAGACACTGTGCTTGTCTATACAGGAACTTCAGTCTGGCATTCGCTTTCTTTACTACACTGTTCCCTATCAATTCTCCTGACATGCATGGGTCAAAGGGGATTCCCAAATATTTTACTGATGAAACCAAAGTGATGGGCTCCCCATTACATTGAACATTAAAATTATTTACCCTTCTCAGTTTATGTTTCGTGCCAAAGAGAATGGCTTCAGTTTTCCCTAGGTGTAATGACAGTTTGTTGTCTACTAACCATTTGCTGCAGGACTCCAGTTCCAGTGTTAAAACATTAGCAATATCTTGTGGGTCTTTACCTGACACTAACAGAGCACTGTCATCTGCATACAGTAGGAGTTTGCACTTGACACTGATAGGCATATCATTGACATAACATAAGAATAATAAGGGACCCAGAATACTACCTTGGGGAACTCCACATGTTATCGGCAGGGGTGTGACCAGCTCTACCTGGAGCTCATTACCTTTGTAATTTGGTCATGATTGTGACCAGATCTAGTTCATTACCTTTGTAACTTGACTAGTGACCTACGTCTCACCTCCTGGCGCTATATAAGGCTCCATCCTATCACTTCAACTCCATATTATTCCAGACAATGGAACAATACTCTTCTCCAGACTGAGGGACTGACCACCTCAAAACTTTAAGGGTGATGGACTGATTACATCGTCTTCAAGTCTCTTCTGCTTCTATCAACTTTGCTGTACTCGACTGAAGAAGCCTACTGTGTAGGCGAAACGTTTCGAAATAAAGATACCTAACTGTTGCATATGTGTCTTACCTAAACAACCTTTGTAACTTGTTCACCTATCAAAACTTTGGAGTCCAGTCCCTGGACCAATTATGTACCTCTGTAATCTTTTGACTATCGCTCACAGGATGGGTATAGTCTGCATTTATTTATTTATTTATTTTTTATTTGGACATGATACATAGATGTACAAAGAAATACATGGTTAAGTGCACATGCCAAAATCCCCTTGTATGCAGAGCATTATGGGCAGCTTAAAATTAACTTAAGATTAACTAAGCAATGATATATTCAGTGGTAAAAATTACAGTAAGCAAATTACAACTTGAAGTACAAATGAGTATTTCAAATTAGAAGCATTAAAATTGTACAGATTTGAAGCATAACATAAAATTAGTTTAATAAATATATTAAGCTAACTGAACATAGATAGACTGACTAGTGTCGATGTCTCTCAGTCTTAGGTCAATGGAGTTCACATGACATTCTTTTCCTATTACTGTACTCAAACTGGTGTCAGCTCTGGATTGTAATTTACTCCCTCCCTGATGGTATTCTACAGAATTCATTACCTTTGTAACTTGTGAGCTCATTACCTTTGTAACTTGTCATGATTGTGACCAGACTTACCTGGAGTTCATTACCTTTGTAAATTGTGAGTTCATTACCTTTGTAAATTGTGAGTTCATTACCTTTGTAAATTGTGAGTTCATTACCTCTGTAACTTGCTCAGCTATCAAAACTTTGGAGTCCAGTCCCTGGACCAATTATGTACCTCTGTAATCTTTTGACTACCGCCCACAGGATGGGTATGGGGTGCATAATAAACATATTAAACTAACAACCTGATGGTATATACCTTTGCTAATTCATCACTTTTATCATGTAATTGAAGATCACTGTGTAATGGCATCCACAGGTCTATTCTAAGCCTTCCACGTGCAAATTTTCCCCCATAGGCTGTTACATCATATATGTAAATATCTGTGAATCATCCAGTTGTGGTTAGAGGCATGCATATATCCCCCAACTTAGAACAATGGTGGAAGGATATCCCCTGCAAATGTAGAATCAACTATAGATTCATAATAAAGAATGGTTATCATAAAAAAATCTTAAGTAAAGTAAGTTTACATTAGTCTATCTTCTCATATTAATTTCAAGGCTTTTCACCCACGCAAATACACATCTATTAATGTCCTCTTGTAACCCAATAGACAAAAAAAGTAGTGGTAATACCAGCAGAGAATAACATACCCCAAAAATGTGAGCAATGGTGGTAGGATAACCCTTGCAAATACAGAATCAACCACAATATAAAAAAAAAGACAGCTGCGATAAAATCTTAAGCTTAGTAGATATACTTTAGTCTCCCCTCCAAAACCCCTTTCCACCCCTCCTACCCACCAAAACACACACCAAATAACCCCTTTCCACCACCCCAATAAACAAAAAACTCCAGAGAACACCACCAGGGCCCTCAAAGGGGGTAGAACCCCCAAAAGGGAAATATAAGACAAAAAACAAGAATGTTGTCCCCTCGGACGGGGTCCTGAGGGTGGGTGTCATGGCTCCCACTCCCTGTTATAAGACAACCAGTCTGCCTGCTGCTCTACTCCAGCTGTCACCTCCTCCACTCCACTACCACCTCTTACACACTCCCACTCCACTACAACCATCATATTGACCACCTCAATGGCCGCCCCGGGGCTTTTTGACCTGGAATTACAAGAGGAAGATGCAATAGAGTGTGACCAATCTGACGACGATGCTATAGAAATAGAGGAGGTATGACCCGCCACTTATATACCTTATTTAACACCATTTACAATATATCCCCCCTTATTTTTGACCATTTATACACAAAATAACACCCAATTGACCTTATTTTCCCAAAATAATAAAGAAAATTAACCTTAGTCGTCAGTAAAACTCACATGAACATTATCCTTGAAAAGGTCATCCAAGCCTTTTATATACCTTATTTAACACCATTTACAATATATCCCCCTCTTATTTATAGCCATTTATACACAAAATAACACCTAATTAACCTTATTTCCCCAAAATAATAATGAAAAATAATGTCATTCAGTAAAAATGACATGAACATTATCCTTGAAAAGGTCATCCCAGCCTTGTATATATATATATTTTTTTCAATAAAGTTGGTGTATAGAGTTTTATTGATGACTGGAGGAGCTTTATTAATATGTCTTTATTGATATTAACCCGTTTATAATGTTATTACTATTTTATGGGAAGTTTTAATGCAGGAGCTTAGTGGAAGGTCACACTTGACCTTATTAGGCTGTCATGGGTAATAAGGTCATGCTAGCTTTATTAGGGTAACCTGGATAATAAGGGCACAGTTGCTTTATTAGGTTAACCTGGATAATAAGGTCACACTAGCTTTATTAGGTTAACCTGGATAATAAGGTCACACTAGCTTTATTAGGTTAACCTGGATAATAAGGTCACACTAGCTTTATTAGGTTAACCTGGATAATAAGGTCACACTAGCTTTATTAGGTTAACCTGGATAATAAGGTCACACTAGCCTTATTAGGTTAACCTGGATAATAAGGTCACACTAGCTTTATTAGGTTAACCTGGATAATAAGGTCACACTAGCTTTATTAGGTTAACCTGGATAATAAGGTCACACTAGCTTTATTAGGTTAACCTGGATAATAAGGTCACACTAGCTTTATTAGGTTAACCTGGATAATAAGGTCACACTAGCTTTATTAGGTTAACCTGGATAATAAGGTCACACTATGCTTTATTAGGTTAACCTGGGTAATAAGGTCACAGTTGCTTTATTAGGTTAACCTGGGTAATAAGGTCACACTAGCTTTATTAGGTTAACCTGGGTAATAAGGTCACACTAGCTTTATTAGGTTAACCTGGATAATAAGGTCACACTAGCTTTATTAGGTTAACCTGGATAATAAGGTCACACTAGCTTTATTAGGTTAACCTGGATAATAAGGTCACACTAGCTTTATTAGGTTAACCTGGGTAATAAGGTCACACTTGCTTTATTAGGGTAACCTGGATAATAAGGTCACACTAGCTTTATTAGGGTAACCTGGATAATAAGGTCACACTAGCTTTATTAGGTTAACCTTGATAATAAGGTCACTTGCTTTATTAGGGTAACCTGGGTAATAAGGTCACACTTGCTTTATTAGGTTAACCTGGATAATAAGGTCACACTTGCTTTATTAGGTTAACCTGGATAATAAGGTCACAGTTGCTTTATTAGGTTAACCTGGATAATAAGGTCACAGTTGCTTTATTAGGTTAACCTGGATAATAAGGTCACACTTACTTTATTAGGGTAACCTGGATAATAAGGTCACACTAGCTTTATTAGCTTATCCTGGGTTATAAGGTCACATTGACTTTAGTTGTCCAGGATAATAAGGTCACCTCGACTTTATTTTGTTATCCTATGTCCGAGTTATACGTGTGTTGTTTCCGTCACGGTATTGCAATTTTTTATTCTTGATTTTGGGGCAATTTGGGTTAATCTTGTCCCCCAGGATGCAACCCACAACAGTCGGCTAACACCCAGGTACCTGGAGGTTATTTCTGGGGATCAACGTCCCTGCAGTCCAGTCCATGACCAGGCCTCGCAGTGGATCAGAACCTGATCAACCAGGCTGTTACTGCTGCTGGCTACATGTCAACCAACATAGGAATCACAGCCCAGCTGGTCAGGCACCTCATAGCCTTCTTAACCCTACTGAGGTACATTGCAGGTGCTCCTCAACTTACGATGGTTCAGCCAATGATTGTTCGATTTACAATTGTTTGACTTACAATAGTTCGATTTTTGTTATTTTGACTTTACGATAGTGCAAAAGCAATTACGTACTTTTGAGATGAAACTCGAGATAATTACCCAACGCGAAGGTGAAAAGTCGCTAACTTGTATTCATTTATTGACTCTTCAATACTACCTGCATTTAATCACAGTAATTATTTGTTTATTAACTTATCACATATATTTGACTTACGATGGGTTCATTGGAACGTAAAAACCCATTGTAAATTGGGGACCATTTGTACAGTACTTTACACAATATATAATTTACATATATCCCTAAGAGTTAATTACAGTAAGTCCACAAGTTTTGAACACAATGAGAATCTTATATATTGTGTATACAACCTCTCATTGCTTAACGACGTATTTGTTTACCAATGCCTCCGACTTACGACAGGCCCTCTGACCAGTATTCATACCTAAATAATGTATATTAGAGCTGATTTCCTCTATTCTGTTTATTACAATGTACAGTACACTACTGTATAAACATTTAAGAATATAACAGAACAGAAATGTTATAAATGGTACAAAAGTGACATTAAAACAATATTAAAGATGGTTGACACAAACCCACTACCATTATAGTATGTTCCTCACTTAGTGACGAATTTGTTTACCAATGTGGTCTTAGGAACGGACCTCTGTTGTTAAGTAAGGAGAGGCTGTAATAATGTTATACACAATACAAAAGAATGTCAACGTGTTTGTAACTCGGTGTATGATAGAGGCAGTAATTTTGGGAAGACCAGTCATGGTTCTATGTTCAGAATTAAATCTTGTTAAAATAATTATGGAAATGAATCCCCTCAAGAAAGGTACATTGGTGACATTGAAGGGATCTTCAACCAGGGTGCCAGGCCTACTCTCCCTTTCCTCGAATCAATTATAATTCCTTCCCAATCCCCTGATGCAGTATGGCCCCCATGGGTTCAGTATAGCCCTTATATATAATAATAATTTTATTTGTTTCACAGCCAGTGTAGTATAGTGCTTCTATATAATAATAATAATGATTATAATAATAATAGTACTTGTATATAATAATAATTTTTGTGGTGTTTCAGAGCCAGTACGAGCAGGGGCCAGACATTAATGCCATTCTCCAGTAAGTATAATAATATGAAAAAGATACACTTGGGCAACATTTTGAAATCTGTATTATGAAAACATTTCGCCAGCGAGCTTCTTCAGTCTGGTACAGGGAAGAACGCTGGAAGATGGAGTTGTTGGAGGTAATCAGTCCCTCAGTCTTGGCAAAAGTACCGCATATGCATGGAGAAGACTGATATACTGAATACATCGACTCCAGGCTGAGGGACTAATTACCTCAAACTACTCCTCCCATCTTCCACCATTTTTCTCTGTATTGGACTGAAGAAACCACTGGCTGGTGAGACGTTTCCTCAGTAAAGATTCCCAAATCATGCACAAGTATCACATTCTTCAACTTGTGGGTTTTCCAAACTGTTAACGTCACAAATGTGACTAAACACGAACTGCTGTCACGTACTCTTCAATATAAGCCAATACAGTGGACCCCCACTTTACGATCACCTCCTAATGCGACCAATTATGTAAGTGTATTTATGTAAGTGCGTTTGTACGTGTATGTTTGGGGGTCTGAAATGGACTAATCTAATTCACTTATGGGAACAAATTTGTTCAGTACTGGCACCTGAACATACTTCTGGAATGAAATAATATCGTAAACCGGGGGTCCACTGTATTCACTTTAAGCCTGTATTTACTTCATAATTTTCGCAGTATGATTTTTTAACACATCAGCTGTTTCCCACCAAGGCAGGGTGACCCGAAAAAAAGGAGAACTTTCATCATCACTCACTCCATCACTGTCTTGCCAGAGGCATGCCTACACTACAATTAAAAAATGCCGTAAGCCGGAAATGCCGTGAGTTGGAAATGCCATGAGTCAGAAATGCCATGAGTCGGAAATGCCACCAGTCGGAAATGCCGTGGGCCGAAAGTACAGTGGGTCGGGAGTACCGTGGGTCAGGAGTGCCATAGGTCAGGAGTACCGTGGGTCGGGAGTACCGTGAGTGGAGTACCGTGAGTCTGGAGTACCGTGAGTCTGGAGTACCGTGAGTCTGGAGTACCGTGAGTCTGGAGTACCGTGAGTCTGGAGTACCATGAGTCAAGAATACCGTGAGTCAAGAATACCGTGAGTCAAGAATACCGTGAGTCGGGAGTACCGTGAGTCGGGAGTACCGCGAGTCGGGAGTACCGTGAGTCGGGAGTACCGTGAGTCGGGAGTACCGTGAGTCGGGAGTACCGTGAGTCGGTAGAGGAGTACCGTGAGTCGGGAGTACCGTGAGTCGGGAGTACCGTGAGTCGGGAGTACCGTGAGTCGGGAGTACCGTGAGTCGGGAGTACCGTGAGTCGGGAGTACCGTGAGTCGGGAGTACCGTGAGTCGGGAGTACCGTGAGTCGGGAGTACCGTGAGTCGGGAGTACCGTGAGTCGGGAGTACCGTGAGTCGGGAGTACCGTGAGTCGGGAGTACCGTGAGTCGGGAGTACCGTGAGTCGGGAGTACCGTGAGTCGGGAGTACCGTGAGTCGGGAGTACCGTGAGTCGGGAGTACCGTGAGTCGGGAGTACCGTGAGTCGGGAGTACCGTGAGTCGGGAATACCATGAGTCGGAAACGAATATGTACTATACTATAAGTAAATAAATCACTACTGCCACTGAATAAATAACTAAATAATTACTGTAACTGAATACCAGCATTGGGAAGCATGTAAATGTGTTTAGGAGTCTTCAACTTACAAACACATTGTTGACATCCTGAATTGTGTATAATGATGATATTATACACAATAATGATATAATAATGATAGATACAATAATAATAATGTACTAGTACAAAAGATTCTCAACATGTTTGTAACTTCTGGACTTACTGTACAAGTTCGGGATTTGTCGCCTTCATGCTGGGTAATTATCTTAAGTTTTATCTCCAAAGTAAGTGCTTTTTCACCATCGTAAAGTTAAACCACCGTACAGTTGAGCCACCAGTCGAACCACCGTAGAGTCAAACCACCGTAAGTTACGGAGTGCCTGTAGTACTCACTTCTCGGTAACTTCTGTGTATGTCCAGTAAAAAATTTAATTTTTTTTTATCATAAATCATTGGTTGAGTGTAAAATATGGACTGTAGTGTAAAATATCGACTGACTATTCAACATGTCATTAACAATCAGTATGACAGAGGCTGTATTAAATGCAGATGTTGGTACATTACAGGTCCGAGGGCATAGAGACATTACAGCTGTCAGACAGCACCGTCAACCCCAGGTCAGAGAAGGTACGACCCTCAGACTTTCAGCTGCTGAAGGTCCTCGGCAAAGGCGGCTATGGGAAAGTCTTCCAGGTAAACAGACTTTTTCCGTAAATTCATGAATACAGTAAATCGACTTACAAATATCTTTATTGTGTATATCATTATTATATACACAATACATAAGGTCCCCAACATGTTTGTAAGTTGAAAATTTCCTGTAACTTGCAAATGGGAGAATGAAATGTGTGACTGTGTTTTGCTCCAGCTAGGACCATTAACTAGGACCAGTGACTAGTCAGTGGTCCTAGTCAGACCGAAACGCGGTCATAAGTTTTGTTCTTCTGCGTGCGGGTTATTTGTGTGTTGTTGCAGTCACGATATTGTGACTACATTCTTTTAGTTTACCTGGGGTTTACCTGGAGAGGGTTTCGGGGGTCAATGCCTCCGTGGCCTGGTCTGAGACCAGGCCTCATGGTGGATCAGGGTCTGATCAACCAGGCTGTTACTGCTGGCCGCACGCAAGCTGATGTACGAACCACAGCCTGGTTGGTCAGGTGCTGACTTTAGGTACCTGTCCAGTGAAGACATTTCTTATTAAAGGCTCAGTCAGCTCTCTTATAAAGATTTTCTATATACAGTAGGACCCCCATATCCATGGGGATGCATTCCAAGGACCTACCATGGATAAAACTGCGGATAGTGGTGAACCCTACGATAAGTGGAAAATCATCACTTTTTCATTGATAGGAAGCATTTCACGGCTTCTCTTACGGTTTGAAGAACTACCACCATCACTACTTTTGTGCTTTGAGGCCATTATTAAGCAAAATTAAGGCTTATTTTTAGGCCAGGGTAAACCACGGATAACTGAAACAGCGGGTACCGGACCCACGGATATGGGGGTCTTACTGTACCATTTTTTCCCATGTGATTGCAGTTGAATAGCAAGTAGAATGAAGGCCTTTCCATGTGATATTCAGTCTTGGATGTACAGGAGGGCCCCGCTTATACAGCAGGTTAGGTTCTGGGCTACTGTAGGGGCTGCCCTGAGGGCCCTTGTACAGCAGGTTAGGTTCTTGGCTACTGTAGGGCCCCACTTATACAGCAGGTTAGGTTCTGGGCTACTGTAGGGCCCTGCTTATACAGCAGGTTAGGTTCTGGGCTACTGTAGGGCCCTGCTTGTACAGCAGGTTAGGTTCTGGGCTACTGTAGGGCCTCGCTTAAACAGCAGGTTAGGTTCTGGGCTACTGTAGGGCCCCACTTATACAGCAGGTTCTGGGTTAATGTAGGGCCCTGCTTGTACAGCAGGTTAGGTTTTGGGCTACTGTAGGGCCCTGCTTATACAGAGGTTAGGTTCCAGGCTACTGTAGGGCCCAGTTTATACAGCAGGTTAGGTTCCAGGCTACTGTAGGGCCCCACTTATACAGCAGGTTAGGTTCTGGGCTATTGTAGGGCCCTACTTATACAGCAGGTTAGGTTCCAGGCCATTGTAGGGCCCCACATATACAGCAGGTTAGGTTCCAGGCTACTGTAGGGCCCCACTTATACAGCAGGTTAGGTTCCAGGCTACTGTAGGGCCCCACTTATACAGCAGGTTAAGTTCCAGGGTACTGTAGAGCCCCGCTTATACAGCAGGTTAGGTTCCGGGCTACTGTAGGGCCCCGCTTATACAGCAGGTTAGGTTCCGGGCTATTGCAGGGCCCCACTTATACAGCAGGTTAGGTTCCGGGCTACTGTAGTGCCCCGCTTATACAGCAGGTTAGGTTCCGGGCTATTGCAGGGCCCCACTTATACAGCAGATTAGGTTCTGGGCTACTGTAGGACCCCACTTATACAGCAGATTAGGTTCCGGGCTACTGTAGGGCCCGACTTATACAGCAGGTTAGGTTCTGGGCTACTGTAGGACCCCACTTATACAGCAGGTTAGGTTCTGGGCTACTGTAGGACCCCACTTATACAGCAGGTTAGGTTCTGGGCTACTGTAGGACCCCACTTATACAGCAGGTTAGGTTCTGGGCTACTGTAGGGCCCTGCTTGTACAGCAGGTTAGGTTCTTGGCTACTGTAGGACCCCACTTATACAGCAGGTTAGGTTCTGGGCTACTGTAGGACCCCACTTATACAGCAGGTTAGGTTCTGGGCTACTGTAGGGCCCTGCTTGTACAGCAGGTTAGGTTCTTGGCTACTGTAGGACCACACTTATACAGCAGGTTAGGTTCTGGGCTACTGTAGGACCCCACTTATACAGCAGGTTAGGTTCTGGGCTACTGTAGGGCCCTGCTTGTACAGCAGGTTAGGTTCTTGGCTACTGTAGGACCCCACTTATACAGCAGGTTAGGTTCTTGGCTACTGTAGGACCCCACTTATACAGCAGGTTAGGTTCTGGGCTACTGTAGGACCCCACTTATACAGCAGGTTAGGTTCTGGGCTACTGTAGGGCCCTGCTTATACAGCAGGTTAGGTTCTGGGCTACTGTAGGACCCCACTTATACAGCAGATTAGGTTCTGGGCTACAGTAGGACCCCACTTATACAGCAGGTTAGGTTCTGGGCTACTGTAGGACCCCACTTATACAGCAGGTTAGGTTCTGGGCTACTGTAGGGCCCTGCTTGTACAGCAGGTTAGGTTCTTGGCTACTGTAGGACCCCACTTATACAGCAGGTTAGGTTCTGGGCTACTGTAGGACCCCACTTATACAGCAGGTTAGGTTCTGGGCTACTGTAGGACCCCACTTATACAGCAGGTTAGGTTCTGGGCTACTGTAGGGCCCTGCTTGTACAGCAGGTTAGGTTCTTGGCTACTGTAGGACCCCACTTATACAGCAGGTTAGGTTCTTGGCTACTGTAGGACCCCACTTGTACAGCAGGTTAGGTTCTGGGCTACTGTAGGACCCCACTTATACAGCAGGTTAGGTTCTGGGCTACTGTAGGGCCCTGCTTGTACAGCAGGTTAGGTTCTTGGCTACTGTAGGACCCCACTTATACAGCAGGTTAGGTTCTGGGCTACTGTAGGACCCCACTTATACAGCAGGTTAGGTTCTGGGCTACTGTAGGACCCCACTTATACAGCAGGTTAGGTTCTGGGCTACTGTAGGACCCCACTTATACAGCAGGTTAGGTTCTGGGCTACTGTAGGACCCCACTTATACAGCAGGTTAGGTTCTGGGCTACTGTAGGACCCCACTTATACAGCAGGTTAGGTTCTGGGCTACTGTAGGACCCCACTTATACAGCAGGTTAGGTTCTGGGCTACTGTAGGACCCCACTTATACAGCAGGTTAGGTTCTGGGCTACTGTAGGACCCCACTTATACAGCAGGTTAGGTTCTGGGCTACTGTAGGACCCCACTTATACAGCAGGTTAGGTTCTGGGCTACTGTAGGACCCCACTTATACAGCAGGTTAGGTTCTGGGCTACTGTAGGACTCCACTTATACAGCAGGTTAGCTTCTGGGCTACTGTAGGACCCCACTTATACAGCAGGTTAGCTTCTGGGCTACTGTAGGGCCCCACTTATACAGCAGGTTAGCTTCTGGGCTACTGTAGGACCCCACTTATACAGCAGGTTAGCTTCTGGGCTACTGTAGGGCCCCACTTATACAGCAGGTTAGCTTCTGGGCTACTGTAGGACCCCACTTATACAGCAGGTTAGCTTCTGGGCTACTGTAGGACCCCACTTATACAGCAGGTTAGGTTCTGGGCTACTGTAGGACCCCACTTATACAGCAGGTTAGCTTCTGGGCTACTGTAGGGCCCCACTTATACAGCAGGTTAGCTTCTGGGCTACTGTAGGGCCCCACTTATACAGCAGGTTAGCTTCTGGGCTACTGTAGGACCCCACTTATACAGCAGGTTAGCTTCTGGGCTACTGTAGGGCCCCACTTATACAGCAGGTTAGGTTCTGGACTACTGCTGTAAAGTGAAAATCAGTGTAAAGCGAGACATTTTTTTTCACTTTCAAACGCATATAAAAGCCTGAAAATATGTTAACACTATCATATATTAAGTGAAAAATAAAGCTAGGCCTAAAAATTGTATATACAGTACTCATATTACTTACCTTAAAATATTTTAGTCCTTAGCTTATAAAGAATGGTGAATATGTATATTTATTGTAAGAAGTCTGAATAAATGAAGAATGACTAGAATTGAAAACTGCTGTTTTAGCATGACACCATGGTAAAGCGCTGTCGAGTGAGGCGCTGTCGAGTGAGGCGCTGTCGAGTGAAGTGCTGTCGAGTGAAGCGCTGTCGAGTGAAGCGCTGTCGAGTGAAGCGCTGTCGAGCGAAGCGCTGTCGAGTGAAGCGCTGTCGAGTGAAGCGCTGTCGAGTGAAGCGCTGTCAAGTGAAGCGGGACCCACCTCCACTTTTTCAGTCGCATTTGCAGAAAAAAGTTGCAAGATGTAGATTCTCTTAAGAGAGAGGTCGGTATCTCTCATTAAGACATTTCTCATTGGGAAATTTATTCTCAGAGGAATTTATTCTCATCGGTGGTGTAATCTGTGCCTTGATGCTGCTGAGGGGCTCTTGATGCAAGGAACTGGAGCTAATCTCCCCTTCCGGATATTTTTATCTTCCGTTCATCGGGTATTATTATTATTATTATTATTATTATTATATTATTACTGCATTCTGTTCCCCAGGAATTATTATTTTTATTATTATTGCATTCCGTGTCTGAAATTATGACCCTTGTGGGTTTAGCACTTCTTCAAGAATACAGTAATGTAAATATACGATATATTAACCATCAGGTAAACATGCTGATGGGTTAATGCAATTATCTGATAGGCAGATAGATATATTATCAGCATCTGAAGTATCTCCTGATTGCTACCACTAAAATGATTTTTATTATGGTTATGATTATTATTATGATTATTATTATGTAGACTCGTAGGTGTACAAATACTTTATTATCATTATTATTATTATTTTAGTAGTAGGTGGCTCATAGCCTAATGGTAATACACTTGGCTCACAACTAGAGGACACGAGATCAATCCTGGGCAGGTCGAGACACTTTAACAAGTTACCTTACACGTGCCAGTGTTCGCCTAGCAGTAAGTAAGTTCGGGAGGTCCCTATTTATATGGTTCTTCGGTTCTTGACCTCATACCATCAGGAAAAATAGCCGGTGGGTGGTAAACAGAGTTTTTTTCAATTTCAAATGCATCTAAAATACCTGATAATGTGTTTTTACACTATCATATAGTGCTAGGCCTAAAAAACACAAAAGTATAACAAATACATACTACGTACAATAGTTTACCTGGAGAGAGTTCCAGGGGTCAACGCCCCCGCGGCCCGGTCTGTGACCAGGCCTCCTGGTGGATCAGAGCCTGATCAACCAGGCTGTTGCTGCTGGCTGCACGCAAACCAACGTACGAGCCACAGCCCGGCTGATCCGGAACTGACTTTAGGTGCTTGTCCAGTGCCAGCTTGAAGACTGCCAGGGGTCTGTTGGTAATCCCCCTTATGTGTGCTGGGAGGCAGTTGAACAGTCTCGGGCCCCTGACACTTATTGTATGGTCTCTTAACGTGCTAGTGACACCCCTGCTTTTCATTGGGGGGATGTTGCATCGTCTGCCAAGTCTTTTGCTTTCGTAGTGAGTGATTTTCGTGTGCAAGTTCGGTACTAGTCTCTCTAGGATTTTCCAGGTGTATATAATCATGTATCTCTCCCTCCTGCGTTCCAGGGAATACAGGTTTAGAAACCTCAAGCGCTCCCAGTAATTGAGGTGTTTTATCTCCGTTATGCGCGCCGTGAAAGTTCTCTGTACATTTTCTAGGTCGGCAATTTCACCTGCCTTGAAAGGTGCTGTTAGTGTGCAGCAATATTCCAGCCTAGATATCTTAAAATATAGCACAGTTTGTCCTTACCGAACGCAGTTGTGCGTAGATGGCAAAAAAAGAGGTAAAAGCACTGAACATAATGAACAATGGCTTGATTGGAAGTCAGAATGTAGAATTCTGGAAAGAGGGTGACGAATGCACAGAGCCTTCTTGTAAAATCTTTATTCTTTATTTTACCTGGGTGTTAGTTGTCGAATACACGGTGCCCTCCAGTACCTGGGTGTTAGTGGATGAATACGCAGGGCCTTGCTGTACCTGGGTGTTAGTCGATTATGCAGGGCCTTCCTGTACCTGGGTGTTAGTCAACAAATACGCAAGGCCTTCCTGTATCTGAGTGTTAGTCGATGAATATGCAGGGCCTTCCTGTACCTGGGTGTGAGTCATCTGGTGTGGGTGGCATCCTGGGGTGATGGGGTGGCAGCGTACCTTAGGGCTGAGCTTTGAAATGATCCGAGGCAGGATGACACCTCTTAGCCTTGGTACTAAAGGGCTCTTGATCCAAGGAATTGGAAGTACCCTCTCCTCTCCTGGATTTAACCTGATTACCTCCCATTCCCCAGGTGCTGTATGACCCCATTCACCATGACTGCTACTACTAATAATAATCATAATAATTTAGTTGAAATTGTGTATGTATTGTGTTTGTACTCACCTAAATGTGGTTGCAGGGATCAAGCCACAGCTCTTGGCCCCCACCTCTGCACTTGTTGCTACTAGGTCCACACACCTTGCTCCAGGAGCCTTGTTGTGCCTCTTCTTAAAGCTATGCATGGATTCTTCCTCATCATGTACATGTATATCATTCTGTATATCATGTATGTATACTTTTCAGGTGCGAAAGATGACTGGGGGTAAAGGCGGAGGGAAGATATTTGCCATGAAGGTCCTGAAGAAAGCAACAATCGTGCGTAACCAGAAGGACACAGCGCACACCAAGGCTGAGAGGAACATTCTCGAAGCCGTCAAGGTGAGTTGCTCTTTGGGGCATAGGGAAAAGAAAGTCAGTTTGTGCGGCTGGAATAATACACGAAGGACACGGACATGGGAGACAAACTTATGGTGATGTTTTGGCCTAATTTGGTCACACAGTCTCTGTGATGATGATTCTGTCCAACTTTGACCATTAACAAGTCACACAGTCTATGATGATGTTTCTGTCCACACAGTCTGTTTGACCAGTTAACTGTCCAAATCCGACCGAAATGTCTTAAGTTCGAGTCTCTTACAATAATAGTAGATCTGTTTTTTTTTTCTACATTTGAAAGCATGTAAATTAAAACGTAGATCTACGTTCGGAGCGCTACGCGAGTGAACGTAGATCTACGTTCGGAGCGCTACGCGAGTGAACGTAGATCTACGTTTGGACAGTTTAGGCATTAATCTTAAGTTAGTCTTAAATTTGCCAGAAATGTTGTGCATATTAAGGGACTTTCTGCGTGCACACCCAAATGTCTTTCACATTTGTATAAACATTTGTATAAACATTTGTATAAACATTTGTATAAACATTTGTATAAACATTGTATCTTGCTGAAATAAATATCTAATCTTATCTCCTTACAATTAATATAATTTTCCCTCTACCTCATCTCTCCCCTCACAATTTTCCCTCTACCTCATCTCTCCCCTCACAATTTTCCCTCTACCTCATCTCTCCCCTCACAATTTTCCCTCTACCTCATCTCTCCCCTCACAATTTTCCCTCTACCTCATCTCTCCCCTCACAATTTTCCCTCTACCTCATCTCTCCCCTCACAATTTTCCCTCTACCTCATCTCTCTCCTCACAATTTTCCCTCTACCTCATCTCTCTCCTCACAATTTTCCTCTACCTCATCTCTCTCCTCACAATTTTCCCTCTACCTCATCTCTCTCCTCACAATTTTCCTCTACCTCATCTCTCTCCTCACAATTTTCCCTCTACCTCATCTCTCTCCTCACAATTTTCCCTCTACCTCATCTCTCTCCTCACAATTTTCCCTCTACCTCATCTCTCTCCTCACAATTTTCCCTCTACCTCATCTCTCTCCTCACAATTTTCCCTCTACCTCATCTCTTCCCTCACAATTTTCCCTCTGCCTGGTCACCGCTACAGCACCCGTTCATCGTGGACCTGGTGTACGCATTTCAAACCGGTGGGAAGTTGTACCTAATATTGGAGTACCTGTCTGGTGGAGAGCTCTTCATGCACCTGGAGAGAGAAGGAATCTTCATGGAGGACACTGCTTGGTGAGTATTTTGTATAGTGAATATCACCTTACGTATAGTAAATATCACCTTACGTATGGTGAATATCACCTTATGTATAGTGAATATCACCTTACGTATAGTGAATATCACCTTATGTATAGTGAATACCACCTTACGTATGGTGAATATCACCTTATGTATAGTGAATATCGCCTTATGTATAGTGAATATCACCTTATGTATAGTGAATACCACCTTACGTATGGTGAATATCACCTTATGTATAGTGAATATCGCCTTATGTATAGTGAATATCACCTTATGTATAGTGAATATCACCTTATGTATAGTGAATATCACCTTATGTATAGTGAATATCACCTTATGTATAGTGAATATCACCTTATGTATAGTGAATATCACCTTATGTATAGTGAATATCACCTTATGTATAGTGAATATCACCTTACGTATAGTGAATATCACCTTACGTATAGTGAATATCACCTTACGTATAGTGAATACCACCTTATGTATGGTGAATATCACCTTATGTATAGTGAATATCACCTTATGTATAGTGAATATCACCTTACGTATGGTGAATACCACCTTATGTATAGTGAATATCACCTTACGTATGGTGAATATCACCTTATGTATAGTGAATATCACCTTATGTATAGTGAATACCACCTTATGTATAGTGAATATCACCTTACGTATGGTGAATATCACCTTACGTATAGTGAATATCACCTTATGTATAGTGAATACCACCTTATGTATAGTGAATATCACCTTATGTATAGTGAATATCACCTTACGTATGGTGAATATCACCTTATGTATAGTGAATATCACCTTATGTATATATCACCATACGTATAGTGAATATCACCTTATGTATAGTGAATATCACCTTACATATGGTGAATATCACCTTATGTATAGTGAATATCACCTTACGTATAGTGAATACCACCTTATGTATAGTGAATATCGCCTTATAATGAATATTGTCTTATGGTGATTATTGCCTTATAGTGAATATTGCCTTATGTGTTTACACTATCATTTTTAGGCCTAGTAATAGTGCTAGGCTTTAAAAAAAATTATGCAAAATTAGACATGTCTGATTCCCTAACTTGTATATAGACGTGTGTGTTTCATAGGCCTATAAGTTTCTCTGCTGAATCTTGAAATTCATTTTAAGCCTATAACTTTCCCTTGTTCTCCATGGGGAAGTGGAACAGAATTCTTCCTCCGTAAGCCATGCGTGTTGTAAGAGGCGACTAAAATGCCGGGAGCAAGGGGCTAGTAACCCCTTCTTCTGTATATATTACTAAATTTAAAAAGAGAAACTTTCGTTTTTCTTTTTGGGCCACCCCGCCTTGGTGGGATACGGCCGGTTTGTTGAAAAAAACAAAAAAAAAAACAATCCATTGTGTCTTAGAAACCATTTTGAGGCCTACTGTCTTCCTGAATTTTAGAAATCCATTTTCATGCTTACTAACTTTCTTCCTAAATTTTAGAAACCCATTTTGCTGTCTCTACCTCTCACTCGCTCTCTACAGTTTCTACATAGCGGAGATAATCCTGGCACTGGAGCACCTCCATTCTGAAGGCATCATCTACAGGGACCTGAAGCCGGAGAATATTCTTCTTGACTCTTACGGTCATGTTAAACTCACCGATTTTGGGCTTTGTAAAGAAAAAATACAAGTGAGGTTTACTGTTGGTCTGTAGTTATCATGATGACTTGTAGTAGTAGTAATGATTAGTAGTAGTGATAGTAATGATTAGTAGTATTAGTAGTAATGATTAGTAGTAGTAATGATGACTGTAGTAGTAGTAATGATGACTGTAGTCATTTTAACCATTATATCTGAAATTTGTTACATAGGGGGGTCTGTAATGTCAAGGTTTACGGTACTTTGAAACACTTATCCATCTCTGTACTAATTTTCCATGCGCCATTTTTTCAGGACGATTCGGTAACACACACCTTCTGTGGCACCATCGAATACATGGCGCCAGAGATCCTGACACGCACAGGACATGGCAAGGCCGTCGACTGGTGGTCCCTGGGAGCGCTCATGTATGATATGTTAACTGGAGCGGTGAGTCCTTGTTGTCATAGACAATTATCACCTGATACTTTTACTAGTACCTCAGAAGAGTTGTCGTCCCCCATAGATGATATTGACAATACAGTGACTGGACAGTACATAAACACTCACATGGGAGAATGAAAGTTATGACTATGAACTGGCACTACTGCACAGTGGAAATAAGTAACTTTTGACTTTATTGGGTCACCCTGGTGGGTAATTTACACACATGTTAAACTATGTATGATAGTTGTACTTATGTGTACCTGTACCTAAATAAACTTAATTATTCCTTGGACTGACCATACACTTTACCAGGTATACTCAACAGACTCTTTCAACAAACTTGCCGTATCCCACCGAGGCGGGGTGGCCCAAAAGGAAAAATGAAAGTTTCTCCTTTTACATTTAGTAATATATACAGAAGAAGGGGTTACTAGCCCCTTGCTCCCGTCATTTTAGTCGCCTCTTACAACACGCATGGCTTACGGAGGAAATAAACAAGGACAAGAGCTAGAAAGAAAACCCAGAGGGATGTGTATACATATGCTTGTACATGTATGTGTAGTGTGACCTAAGTGTAAGTAGAAGTAGCAAGACGTACCTGAAACCTTGCATGTTTCCGAGACAGAAAATGGACACCAGCAATCCTACCATCATGTAAAACAATTACAGGCTTTCGTTTTACACTCGCTTGGCAGGACGGTAGTACCTCCCTGGGCGGTTACTGTCTACCAACCCACTACCTATACTCGACAGATTTATCCCCCTATAATTTTTGCACTCTCTTCTGTCCCTTTGCCTTTATACAAAGGAAATATGCATGCTCTCTGACAATCCCTAGGTACCTTACCCTCTTCCAAGTCCTGCTGACTTAGACAGGCAGACATGGCAAACAGGGTAGGATAAGGCACATAGAACTAGAGGAGGCAAGGCAGGACAAAGCAGGGCAAGGTAAGGCAGAGATCGGTAGAGAAGTGTGGACTTTATATTCACACTACTCTGTTGCATTTTGCCACTGCCCACATCTGGTGCACTTTCAAGTGTAATAATGTTGTTTCATTTACCTGTAGTTCATTTGCTCTGTGTTAGTGTCTGTGAGAAACTGCCAGGTCTAGGAGGCTGGTACAGCAGGATACTAGTAGCTAGTCTAGTTGAACTGGCAAGTTGAAATGGACGGACGGACACGGACACGGGAAAACACACACACACACACACACACACACACACACACACACACACACACACACACACACACACACACACACACACACACACACACACACACGCACGCGCATGCCTGAGGCATGGAAGAAAGTGCAAAGGTTTGCAACAAGACTAGTCCCAGAGCTAAGAGGTATGTCCCACGAGGAGAGGTTAAGGGAAATCAACCTGACGACACTGGAGGACAGGAGAGATAGGGGGGACATGATAACGACATACAAATAAATTTAGAGAATTGACAAGGTGGACGAAGACAGGATATTCCAGAGATTGGACACAGTAACAAGGGGACACAGTTGGAAGCTGAAGACACAGATGAACACAGGGATGTTAGGAAGTATTTCTTTCAGCCACAGAGTAGTCATAAGTGGGAATAGTTTGGGAAGCGATATAGTGGAGCAGGATCCATACATAGCTTTAAGCAGAGGTATGATAAAGCCCACGGCTCAGGGAGAGTTTACCTAGTAGCGATCAGTGAAGAGGCGGGGCCAGGAGCTTAGACTCGACCCCCTCAACCTCAACTAGGTGAGTACACACACACACACACACACACACACACACACACACACACACACACACACACACACACCACACACACCACACACACACACACACAAAAAACACACAAACAACAAACACACACAAAACCACACACAAAACACACCACCCCACACACACAAACACACACACACACACACACACACACACACAAAACACACACACACACACACACACACACACACACACACACACACACACAGAGAGAGAGTCAGTACCTGACCAGCCGGGCAGTGATTCCTACAACAGTTTACGTGCAGCTAGCAGTAACAGCCTGGTTGATTAGGTCCTGATCCACCACCAGGGCTGGTCATGGACTGGGCCACGGGGGCATTGATCCCTGGAACCCCCTCCTGGTATGCTGCAGGAAGATTTCAGGTCTGGTAGTAAAGCACTGAAAATCAAACTTGTTAGTTAGGTAATAGGTTGGTAGACAGTACCATCCTGGCAGACAGTACCATCGTGGTAGACAGTACCATCCTGGCAGACAGTACCATCGTGGTAGACAGTACCATCGTGGCAGACAGTACCATCCTGGCAGACAGTACCATCCTGGCAGACAGTACCATCCTGGCAGACAGTACCATCGTGGCAGACAGTACCATCGTGGCAGACAGTACCATCCTGGCAGACAGTACCATCCTGGCAGACAGTACCATCCTGGCAGACAGTACCACCTGGCAGACATACCATCCTGGCAGACAGTACCATCCCGGCAGACAGTACCATCCGGCAGACAGTACCATCCTGGCAACAGTACCATACTGGCAGACCGTACCATACTGGCAGACAGTACCATCCTGGCAGACAGTAAACCCTCCTGGCAGACATACCATACTGGCAGACAGTACCATCCTGGCAGACAGTACCATCCTGGCAGACAGTACCATCCTGGCAGACAGTACCATCCTGGCAGACAGTACCATCCTGGCAGACAGTACCCCTACTGGTAGACAGTACCATACTGGCAGACAGTACCATACTGGCAGACAGTACCATACTGGCAGACAGTACCATCCTGGCAGACAGTACCATCCTGGCAGACAGTACCATCCTGGCAGACAGTACCATCCTGGCAGACAGTACCATACTGGTAGACAGTACCATCCTGGCAGACAGTACCATCCTGGCAGACAGTACCATCCTGGCAGACAGTACCATCCTGGCAGACAGTACCATACTGGCAGACAGTACCATCCTGGCAGACAGTACCATCCTGGCAGACAGTACCATCCTGGCAGACAGTACCATCCTGGCAGACAGTACCATCCTGGCAGACAGTACCATCCTGGCAGACAGTACCATCCTGGTAGACAGTACCATACTGGCAGACAGTACCATACTGGCAGACAGTACCATACTGGCAGACAGTACCATACTGGCAGACAGTACCATACTGGCAGACAGTACCATACTGGCAGACAGTACCATCCTGGCAGACAGTACCATCCTGGCAGACAGTACCATCCTGGCAGACAGTACCATCCTGGCAGACAGTACCATCCTGGTAGACAGTACCATACTGGCAGACAGTACCATACTGGCAGACAGTACCATCCTGGCAGACAGTACCAAACCTGGCAAAACGTACCCTCCTGGCAGACGTACCATCCGGCAGACAGTCCATCCTGGCAGACAGTACCATCCTGGTAGACAGTACCATACTGGCAGACAGTACCATACTGGCAGACAGTACCATACTGGCAGACAGTACCATACTGGCAGACAGTACCATACTGGCAGACAGTAAACCCTACTGGCAGACAGTACCATACTGGCAGACAGTACCATACTGGCAGACAGTACCATCCTGGTAGACAGTACCATACTGGCAGACAGTACCATACTGGCAGACAGTACCATCCTGGCAGACTACCATCCTGGCAGACAGTACCATCCTGGCAGACAGTACCATCCTGGCAGACAGTTACCATCCTGGTAAAAACACCCGATACCATACTGGCAGACAGTACCATACTGGCAGACAGTACCATACTGGCAGACAGTACCATACTGGCAGACAGTACCATACTGGCAGACAGTACCATACTGGCAGACAGTACCATACTGGCAGACAGTACCATCCTGGTAGACAGTACCATACTGGCAGACAGTACCATACTGGCAGACAGTACCATCCTGGCAGACAGTACCATACTGGCAGACAGTACCATACTGGCAGACAGTACCACCTGGGAGACAGTACCAAAACTGGCAGACAGTAAACCCTCCTGGCAGACAGTACCATACTGGCAGACAGTACCATAAATGGCAGACGTACCATACTGGCAACAGTACCATACTGGCAGACAGTACCATCCTGGTAGACAGTACCATACTGGCAGACAGTACCATCCTGGCACAGTACCATCCTGGTAGACAGTACCATCTGGCAGACAGTACCACCTGGCAGACGTACCATACTGGCAGACAGTACCATACTGGGAGACAGTACCATACTGGCAGACAGTAACCATACTGGCAGACAGTACCATACTGGCAGAACAGTACCATACTGGGAGACGTACCATCCTGGCAGACAGTACCTACTGGCAGACAGTACCGTAAATGGCAGACATACCGTACTGGCAGACGTACCATACTGGCAGACAGTACCAATAAATGGCAGACAGTACCATACTGGCAGACAGTACCATACTGGCAGACAGTACCATACTGGCAGACAGTGCCATCCTGGTAGACAGTACCATACTGGGAGACAGTAAACCCTACTGGCAGACAGTACCATCCTGGCAGACAGTACCATACTGGCAGACAGTACCATACTGGCAGACAGTAAACCCTCCTGGCAGACAGTACCATACTGGCAGACAGTACCATACTGGCAGACAGTACCATCCTGGCAGACAGTACCATCCTGGCAGACAGTACCATACTGGCAGACAGTACCATACTGGCAGACAGTACCATACTGGCAGACAGTACCATACTGGCAGACAGTACCATACTGGCAGACAGTACCATCCTGGTAGACAGTACCATACTGGCAAGACAGTACCATACTGGCAGACAGTACCATCCGGCAGACAGTAACCATCCTGGCGACAGTACCATCCCTGGCAGACAGTACCATCCTGGCAGACAGTACCATCCTGGTAGACAGTACCATACTGGCAGACAGTACCATACTGGCAGACAGTACCATACTGGCAGACAGTACCATACTGGCAGACAGTACCATACTGGCAGACAGTACCATACTGGCA